AAAAAAAAAATCAGCTCATCTGGAGAGATTCTGGAAGGATCCAGTCTCGAAAATACTGGTCAGTGAAGTTTTACAAATTGGACTGGCTACAGCTGTGGTCTTAAAAATCAGCTCTCCTGTCATGTTAGGGCTATCAGGATACAGCAGAGTAACTTTGAATGCTGAAAAATTACAGTGTCTAGGATTACTTTTATTTTAAGACCTAAGCTTACAGTATTATTGTTCTTATCTACATGTCATTACATTTGAATTTACATCAGAAAGTATGTACAATGATCAAATGATAATAAAATCGCTCATTCTCACAAAGAGCCCTACTGAAATGCCAAGACTTGTTAAAATGATAATTTGGGGAAGCGAAGCATGGTCTCAGGCATGAGATGCATCACAGTAAACACCATAATTATAAGCTTTTTTAAAGAATGTACAATTGGATCTAGGGGGGAGGTCTGAAACAAAACCAAATCCTTTAACTGGAGGACGACCACCAAAATCTCATTCAACAACTTAGTAAGCACACCAGGAGAGCATCCACTCGAGCAGGTTCACACCATGACCGGGAGAAACAGGAATGCAGTGGCACAGTTCAGACATGGCTTTCCTGGACTACACTGGGGCCAGAACCACAAGTGCTACAACACATGAAGACAGAATGGCCATGAGGTTGACCTTACCAGCTCAGGCCCACTACTTCAAGACAGCTACATTGCAGCCAAAGCTGTAAAGCAATGCTGCAGTCTGTTTGGATTTATTATCAACTGTTACATTAGATATCAACAATTTATCAACTTCTCAATTTCCATTTGCCCTGCCTGTATCACACCACTGCCTCAAATTCTATTACAAAAGAGATCTTAAGACTAGCTAATAGTAGAAATAGTAAATATTGCAGTTTTCAGATTAATATCAAGATTTTAATCCACTAACACCCAAGGGTACTTTATATTAAGAAATCATTTATATCATCACACATCACACCTGTAAACAATGACTGACTTGTGCAGATTTGACTTGTGACAATACTGTATGTCTTCTTGAACTATGAAATTTGTTAGAGAAATCTTATCAACTTGCTTGCTGACATAAAGATTCAAAAGCAACCACTTAAGCCCTTTTTTCCCATAATCTCAAAATGTCCTTTTTCTTCAAGGAAAAAGTATCAGCAGATCTTGCTTGCTAAGCTATAATTTTAAGGACTGTGAAGGATCAGAGTTCTTATTTCCCACCTCCATACCCTTACACAAGAGTTATCCATTCATTACTACTCTCAATCAATCACAGTATCTACAGGACTACTATTTGTACAGCATAAACAACTAGCGTATTACATACCAAGATTCACATCAGGCAACATTTTATCAAGAAACTGAGTCTCTCCTCCATTAGGGGACAGGAAGTCAGCTAAAAGCTGGCTGTTACTTAGTTCTGGATGTTGCAGAAGTTTCTTTGAGACAGAAGGAAAGAAAGCAGTGTAAGTACTTTAAAACTAACCTTTAAAAATCAGTTTCTCTATAGCAAAAAGAGATATTCAAAGAGCATTATATTACCACAGATATTGTCATTCACAAAAGATTTCTCTTTTCAGTCACACAAAACTTACTTCAATCCTTTCTATAACCCAACTTACTGGGAAACAAATAAAAAGCAATAGCAGGAAATTCTTTTATTAATTTTATATTATTAGTTTTAGAATATTCTTTGTTCCAAAAGTTTATTTGATACCTGCAGATATTCCTGAAACTCCTCTCTCTTGGATTTTAAGAACTCGTAGTTCTTGGGGCCAATGATTCTCTTTGAGGGAAGCTGAGCATCAGGAAACGTACCTAATAAAGATATCGAGGAGATTAAAGTATTCTTGTAACACAGCAAACATTAGATTCATTATTTTAAATTTCAGTTCAGTACTGAATGATAATCACAGCAGTGGTAAAGTGGCTTTCCAGATGATGGAGAACATACCGTGAAACTCCGTCAGCTTCGACTCAAGCACATAAAATTCAAGATACCTCCTGTAGACAGACCAGTGTTCAGGTTCATGCCCAACTAGGGGGAAAATAAACCACAAACCAACACTAAAAATCAACCAGGTTTTATGCCACTTGAGAGGTGAATTAGGCAATAGCAAACATACGTTTGATTATTATAGGATAAACCTCAATGATATTAGTCCCCCATATTGACGTAACATAAAAAAATCCCAGCCAGATAATTTAAGTGTTAAATTAAAATGCATACCTGTTAGACAGATAAGGTACGAGCATGGAAATTATCATCTCATTTAGGGGATCCCTAAAATCTAAACAATGGAATGCTGCAGAAGTTCAAAATTTATTGAGGCTGACTATGTTAGATCTATTTTCAAACTTTTAACCAAATGATTGTTGAATAAAGTCCTCTGCACCATCAGCTTGAATCCTGATCATTCTTCCTCCTGGAAGATATCACTAAACAACTCTTAAACACTTCCTGCTTACTATGGAAGTACTGGTTTCGCTAACCCAAATCTCTGCAGCCCCAGGATGATCCTAGCTATTTTTCCCACTCAATATGAATGTACTGCTATCTAGATACTGATAAACTATCTGCAAGCCAGGATGGTTCCTTACAAGCAAAACATTTCCATTTCCTAAGAACTACATTTTAAGGTTATACAAAGTTATTTATTGTTCATTATTCCAAAGTTCAGAGTGAGTAAAAGAAAAGTATCCCTAGTGTTTATTAATACAAATCATAGGACGAATATTTTTGGAAAGAGAAAATCTCAGACTTTGGCATGAAATCTAAATAGAATTGATTCAAGCTGAGGAGTCAGTTCTCAACTTACAAATAGTAAATGTGATCATTTAGCTCTCAAACTCAGAATTTTCAGATCATTATTTCAAAATCAGAAGAACAGGTATGCAAAATACACTGCAACAGCCATCACAGTACAGCACACTAGAATATTTTAGTTCATTTTTAAATTACATTTTATTTATCCACAATGCTACGTACCTGCCCTTCTATCATTTCTCTCTACATCAATGCAGAACACGGGAATTCTCTCCTTTCTGTCTTTTCTTTCCAATGAGGGATCGTCAAAAAAATCTACATATGGGATGCTAATTTTCCATGCAGCAAGGTTACGGGGTGTATTTGGGGTACTAACAGCCTCCTCAGGAGAATCATCTTCCATCACCATAACACCTTCTTCAATCTGTAAAGATTCAAACATCAAGATCTATTTTAATTGGTTCAGTCTACCTTTGCAAAACATATAGAATAACAAAACATAAATTGAGTCTTGAAGTATTTGTCACTAAGAATAAAAGAACAAAAAAAAATTCATTAATGGAGTTTTCATGTAGGTTCATTTCTGGTTTTAGATCCACTGCAAATTAATTTGAAGTTAGCAACTTTTAGTGAGAACTGAAAGTTTTTATAGCACTATCAAGTTCCACATCTGACACTTCAGGGAGAGGGGGAGAGAGAGAGAATAGAAGTACTAGAGGAGACGGCTGGAAGAATGCCTTAGACAGACTGAATGCTACAGGAACCACTTTGGGTCCAGCAGATTTAGCTGCATTGCATTTTCCATCATACTAGGACCCAAATTGAAGACTTGAGCTTACTAGGTCAGGTCAAGAAGTTACCTAAACACAACAAGAGACAGAAGCCAACAGCGCACCAAGCTAGCAGGTCTCCCACCCGCACAGCCGAGTACAACAGAGGATGTTGTGGACACACGAATCTGACTTGCTCTGCAAGGTGCAACACAACCACAATGGGGATTGAACTATTCTGCAGCCCAGAGCTCTTTGTATTTTCATTAGTGTAGGCAAGCAGGTGAAAAAAGAGTAGTCCTATTTCCTTATAAAACTGAAATCATCTGAATCTAATTTAGCCTGCTGCTAATTTAGGCTGCAAGGGCTTCTAAAACATCACAGTCCTTAAAGGAGGCAGGCACCGCCTGACAAGGAGCAACACCCAAGCCCATCGTTCTGCCTCCAGCCTGTGCCTGCTGCAGCAGCAGGCAGCACCTTGCTCTTCCCATCACAATTTACAGAGCAATTAACTATGTCGAGATAGGTTAGCGTTAAGACACAATTAAAAGATACATTATTTTAGTAAGTCTCATAGACACACTTGAGAGTACTACTACTTGTTAAGAGATTTTAACATACGAATTTACATGCGAAACTACAGCAAACTGCAAAGCATAAATCCCATTTTCATGTCCTTTTTCCTTAGCTTCATAATTTAAAGTCAAATTTCTCTCAAAGGCCAAGCCTAGGTGGCTCAAAAAGTTTTGCCTGTATTGGGATAATTTAATTAACGCTTTAAGGCAATATAGCATCCCTGAAATAATTTTGGCGCTCTCTGCACTACAATATTCACAAGATCATGACTCAACTGCAGCTGAAGCATAAATGGTTCAACACACATGAGCAGTCTTTGCTCAGTTTTGTTTTGCCTTTGCAGAATGCTGAAACAATCCTTAAACTGGTTACAGTGTGGAACGTTGTCTTCCAAAACAGATCTCCATAGATCCACTAACTGAATCTCTTCTTTTCAAAACACATTTCTGCCTCTACTTACCTGATTTATTTGATAAAAAGAGAAACTGTGACAGGCAAAGAGCAGTCTCAGTTGCCGCTGTGTAGAGACCACGCTCAGCTAAGGTGGTTCGCAATTTGAGAGTAAATCACAGGCTGTGCTCTTTCACAAAGCAAACAAAAATAACCCCAGCCTGGAATGAACAATTAGGGCTCACAAACTGCAGGACAAACTTACATTGAAGAATGGAATAAATAGGACAGGTGCTCTCTGAATCGCAACAATGGGGTTGTCAGGTAGCTTTACATCTACAGAGTCTTCTGTATGAGGTCTTACCCTCACTTTCCCCCTTCCCCAGGCTTTATATGGTTGTCACCACTGGATAGAAACAGCAAAACAACATTTCAGGATAGCAACTCCTGGTCAACAGCAGCTCAGTTTCTGCAGATGGGGGACCACAAACTGGGTGCAATTTGCGCTCACTCCCCCATCCTGAGAAAGCTGAGCTATCCGCTACCAAAATTATCACTTTATAATCTATCCTGACTATAACCACTAGGACCTCCTTGCAAAAATGCAAGGCCATTCTAGAAACACTCAGACTTACCTGATTCTGTAGTTTTTGACTAAACTAAATGCTTAAGCATGGACTTGATTGAAACTCAACTCTTGCCTACGTTTTCTGATTCTTTCTTCCTTTAATTTACCACTGCTTGCAGTTCTCATCTCCTCCCATTTATTTAGTTTCACATACAGACTACCCTATCAGTTGATACAGTGATTACAGTCCCAGCAGTGCAGAGGCAGTGTAAGGCTTAGAGGAGGTAGGGGTCAGTCATTTTTAAACTGCTCATAAAGGGGCCATAACCTCCCCATCTGCTGCCTTCACCCAGCCCTTCCAAGGTTGTAATGAATCATCAGCAAAGTCTCACACGCTCACAACCTCTCTTCATCATATACCTCACCTGACTTCTAGCCTTGTTTTGGTGATAATCCATTTTTTTTTCCTCACTGTGACAACCACAGCACCTACAATAACTGCAAGCCAGGAAGCATGAATTTCTGGGGGTTTTAATCCTCTTTCCAAACAGATCACCAACCCGTAATAGTTATGGGTTGCCTCAGTCTATTTCCATTTGTTTCATCCAACAAAGCCACAAGTTCAAGTCCACAAGGTCTTCTGGCTGCCTTGGAAACAATACCGGTTCTTTAATATGCTGAGTATCTTTCGCTATATTTAAAATTTAGCTGACAAAGATTGAGTGTGGTTTCATGGAATTACTATTATCATGTTAGCAGTTTATAAAGCTGCTGCCCAGAGCCACAGAAAGCTGTTAACACGTATTTCTATCCCTACATGACTTCCGTAGACTAAATGGATGTTTCCTATCGGCTTTAACTGCAACCAACGTGACTTTGTCAAAAAAAAAAAACAAAAACAAAAACCAAAACCAAAAAAACCCCACAAACAAAAAAAACCTGCAGACATTACTCAGTTTGTCACAATGCACAGAACTCCATTTTACTGCCATTCTTTATATTTACCTTGAATCCACCAAGCCTACATTAACATTGATTACTTAAATACCTGATCAGGGTTTGTGTAGCCAGGAAATAACTCCCATATCCTCTGTACATAAGCTAATCAGAAAGTTGTTAAGTCTGTATACTGCACTGCCACCCCCTTGTAATTATACTGCCACTTCCCAGATGATGTTTTTCTTGTCCCTGAGAGCTCATCCTCTGACCCTGTGAGGCCTGCTAGGAAACTACACCTCAGCACTTACTGTGACATTATTAGTGTTGAATTCTGTATACAATATTTGTTCATGAAGTGAAGTCACAGCTTTGTTCAGCTCTTTGGATGCACAGTAACCTTACAACAGTTTAGTGTTTTCTTTTCCCATTTCTTCTTCCCATCCACACTTAGCGAGTGAAGGGACTAGTGTACTTCCCAAACTTTGTCTAAGGTGGTTTTAGTAAAAATGTAGTATCCCACCTTTATTTAATGAAGGGATTTGACACAATGCTGCACTTCAAACTTTCCATTCTTGCCTAAGCTAAAATCATTCTGTCCATTTGAAAACCTTCCTTAGTAAGGATTAGACACTATATTGTCTGGCTCTCTCTGAATTCAGCAACTTCTCACAAGTAACTTCTTGTGCTCTGGCACAAACCCACGTTCCTTCTCTGAGCTCCACTGCTTCACTTATACTTGTACTAATTCCTCTACTATTGTGGAATTATACTTCCACACCCTTTGGTTAGCAAAATCTACAACAGCAATGCTGCAAAATTAACCCATTTTCATTAGAATCTCGCCTCAAAAAGAGAGAAGCTATAACAAGAACTTAACTCTCCAAGAAACTAATTGCAACAGTTCTGCCCCCTTAAAGGCATGACTTACATGAAGATTTAGCCTGTAAAGAATATTGCCTTTTTTTTCTCCTCCTAAAGAAAAATTCCAAACCTGTCTAGAGTTCTAAGTTGCTGAGTCCTTCCCACCCTCTTCTGAAAGCAATTCTGAACGTGAATAATATAAGCTCATACGTACACTTTTATCTTTAGGCTGTGAAAAATGAGCTAGCAGTTTATCAAGGTAAGAAATTATTAAAAGTTTTGTTTCACAGAATCATAGAATGGTTTGGGTTGAAAGGGACCTTAAAGATTATCTAGTTCCAAAACCCCTGCCCTGGGCAGAGACACCCTCCACTAGACCAGGTTGCCCAAAGCCCCATCCAACCTGGCCTTAAACACTTCCAGGGAGGGGGCATCCATAGCTTCTCTGGGCAACCTGTTCCAGTGCCTCAACACCCTCACAGGAAAGAATTTCTTTCCAACATCTAATCTGAATCGACCTTCCTTCAGTTTAAACCCATTACCCCTTGTCCTGTCACTACACTCCCTGATAAACAGTCCCTCACCATCTTTCCTGTAGGCCCCCTCAGGTACTGGAAAGCCACAATTAGATCTCCCCGGAGCCGCCTTTTCTCCAGGCTGAACAACCCACAGTTTGTTAGGAACAGTTACAAAAGGTTGAACTAGCAGACACACTAAAAAAAATACATGACTACCAATAGCTTCTGACCAATTCCCTCCTCTTCCCTTTTTAAAACTTTCCATTTGCCCTCCAACTGCGGTTCAGATACCAGTGTCCCATGCATTAAGTCTAGCGTTGGCTCTATTAATTGCTGTTTAGCATGAAAGAAAAACATTAGGTGAGGGAGGCACCCAAGACAAATGAGAAAGGACTACTGACTCGTGACCTTTAGAGAAAATGCTGCATCACAGACCAACTTGACAGCAATTTCTCCACTACTTTATCCATGGTGTTCAGATCTTGTGGCAAGCTTCACGTGAAAAGCCATGTGTGCATTCGTATGCATACCGTATTATCCAGAATTATAAAATGGTACGGTAAGTTTTTAGAGAAAAATTAATTTCTTACAAAAATATCTGACACTGCTACTTGTAGTACTTCTGTGTACTAAAGCAATAAGCTGAGAGACACAGTAACTGGGGATGTGGTCTTGGCTTGTGAATGAATACAGGGAAAACAAGGCAACTTAATCAGAAGCCACCCCATGGAAGCCCTGCAGTGAAGTAAGACAGCAGAAAAGGCAGAAACTTAACATTTTCAAATAAGGAGAAAACGCACATCAACAAAGACTTATACACAACTTTAAAACTTCTACTCACAAAGTCATCTTCTCCTTCATTTAAGTTATAGTTCGGCAACATAGCTCCTTCCATCGCAGAACTCTTGAATACACCTTTTATTTTGTTGCCTATTCTGCTGATTCCAAATGATTCTCCTCTCTTCTGCGTGGTCCTAGAATTACAGAAGTCAGAGTTCACAACACAAGGCATATTATTACACAGCATCTTAGCAGGCTGTTGCACATCATTTGCAGATAAGAGAATTCTATAAACAAGTAGCAAATACATTTATCATTCTACTTCAACTGAAATTCATTTATGGCAAATTTGTTCTCTGATCAATGAGCAAAATTTCTTGATTACCCTTTTAAGAGATAGGGGATTCCAATATGCTTAAACATGAGCAAACATTAACACTCTTATAACAGTATCCCAGTAATACAGGACATAGAATAAACAATTAACTGCGCTAAACAATTTTGTTTTGACAGTAGAAACTCTTGCATTGCCACAGGCATGCACACCAAGAAGGTCGCTAACTCTGTTCTTTTTCCAAGTACTCATATTTAAATATTTATACACTCTTGCCAAGTACTGTAAATGGTGTAGTTAGATGCATTTTTTTTACATAAACATCCCAGAATTTTACAAGCATGTATGATTCAATATAGATCTTGACTTTTAAGCATTAGGGACAGAGAAAAGGAATGTGCAAGGAGCAAGACTGAGCATGAGAGAAAACAGATGTAACTGAAGAATCTTGGCTTGAAGAGCCAGTCTGACTGATAGATGAAGACTTTTTAAAGTCTTGCCACTTATGACAAAGCATCCAAAAAGCAACAAGGTATGGAAAAAGAAAAATAATTGGGCAGGCAGCATGCTCCTTATTGGGAGAACAGATTTTATAGCATTCTTATGCTTAGACAAGACTTGACACCGAAGATTATTTCTTGCATAGAAATGCTAGTAATTTGGAAAAGACAAATGTTTCTGTCGAATACGGAATCAGCCTGAGGTTACTTATGTTGATTCAGTAAATGCAGTTGATAGGCGAGTTAAAAACCAATAGCAAACTGCAGAATCAAAGATTCAAAAGAACTTTATAGATTACAGAGATTAAAAGCACAATTAGTATTTTAGAGGGCGAAAAAATATCCTAAGTGTTTCTTTTTCCTTTAAACCAAAAAATTATTAACTACTGAACAGTAGTATCAACAGAACAGCAGAGACCAGCAGGTAAAGCATCTTCATTGCCCATAAAACCATACTGACATCAGCTGCTGAGTCAAACATGCATGTGTTACTAACGATCTTCCTGTTTACAGTTTCACCCAGACTGTGTACATGACTAAAATTGTGTAAATTATCCACTGCTTTTCCAAATCTTTTGCTTTTTCTATCTCATTTTATTATCAGCTCCAAAGCAGACAGGCACCATCTATCTTACTTATCTCTGCTAACCAAAGACAAGGTTGCTTGGCTGTTTGAACAAACACGGATTTAGACTACAATTTTACCTAATTTTTAAGCAACTTATTCTACATGTTATTGTGCTGAACTGAACATTTTCACATTGAGGCCCAACCTAAATCTTGAACAAGAGCTTAATCACTGAGCTAGCAAAATACAAACCTTAATCAGACAAAACTAGACAGATTTTCTAGAAGGGTAATCCTTCAGACCTCTGGCTTGACTCTTGAAGAAGCTTTCATCGTTCCTGTGAAAACTTGTGCAGTTCTCAAGATTCTGAACACAAAGTTTAATTCGCACAAGCTCAGAGATTTGGTAAGAGTACTCCAGGCTCAGATCAATTCTATTCCACACTGATCATACTCCAGCTGAAGGCAGAGTACTGCTTTGCCTGTAACTCCAGTACTGAGTTGTACAGAGCCAGGACTCAACTGGATAGCTAGGAACCATCCCTTCCTGCCCCAATGCTGAGCCCAAAGACCATCCCTAATAAGTACAGAGCAATCAGGAAACTGGAACAGGTATAACGTGACAAACTAGGATGGGATCTCCTTGCAGGAAGAAACACAAATTCAGAACAAACACTGGTGAATAACAGGGTATACAGACACATGGTGGACAACACATGGAAAGAACATAGGACTAGTTTGGCAAAAGTTCTCGAGCAAGCATGCAGAGCGCAAACCAGACTAGATGAGCAAGGGAAAAATCTGGGGATGTTAGCAGAGACATACAGACAACAGGATGATCAATCTTTTGAGGGCACTGAGCAAGGAAAAAAAAAACATTAAAAAAATACCAACCGAAAAACAAGTATCAGGATGAAAGTCTAGTAGATTCACTGGTTAAGTAGAAATAGGAGAAAGAACTTGAGCTAGGTGGAAGGGAAGATACAGGACTAGGATATGGTCAGGTTCAAGGCATGGGGGAAGAAAGAAGTGAAGAGGTGGCCTGTTTAGAATAGAGACCAAGTCTTCCCAGCCCTGTCAACTCTGCTACTGTCAACATATACATATACAAAATTAATTGGGAAAAGTATCCCACTCCCTCTAGTGCTGATCCACATAACAGCATTATTAGACTGTCATTCTATAGTCGCTTTTTGGCAGAGCCCTGAGCGGTGAGTTAACAGGTTCCAACATTTCTGATGAATGATGTGACAACAAGAAGTTGGAATACATTTTTTTTTTAGACGTCCAGAAGTCACACATGCGTAGCATTAAAAAAATTCCAATTGTTATTCACTCTATAGGTGGGAATTGCAGACCAAAGATTGCATTAGTGCCACTGTGCACTATGGCATTCTTTAATCATGGATGGGTTGCAAAATAATTTTCCCACAGGATGCCTGCCTCATTCAGCACGCTGATCACCTGCAAAGATCTGTTCAGTCAGGGCTATGCACTGAAGAATGCTATTGTGAACCTCTGCAGGTCACAAAGTACCAGACAAGCTAGATATTTACATGCATGTGAAGTCAGAATACCATTTTCTTTTGGCTGACTAAAACCCCTACACTCAATTAGGAGAAATGCTGAGCGCATAGACTTGCACTTAAAGATCAATCAACTGCACTTGTATCTCAAGTACTTCTCATTGCTCAACACTCTAGCAAGTTATAACTCAATACACTGAATTGGCATATAAAAGACAGAAAGCGTCTATATACCTTGATTCCTAACCTGTAAAATGAAGTTGATCATGTTCCCTCAAGACTCAAGAATGGTGTGAGTAATATATGAAATACTGATGCTCTGACAAATTCTAAGGAAAAGCCCGTAATGAAAAAATTGTTTTCTGAGTTTGGATAGCATCTATTTAAAGAGGCACAAATAATGAGTAAACAAACCATCAAACAGCTATTAAGGCATTAATGAGTGACCACAGACTACCTAGAAGAAATTATAAAAAATAGCATATGTTGTAAACAAACCTATAACAGTCACAAGAAAAGCTGCAGAGAGAACTTGTTTGGGGAACTGCTGATTTTGAGTGCTTGATAATATTCATAAAATGGTTATATTTGCATGCAATGTTAGGCAATGATCATTCTGGACATGGCTGTGCAAGATAAAACAAGCAGTTAAGTGGATAAAACCTCAAACAACACCTGGAAATGTGACATGGAGTAAAGGAAATTTTGGAGCAGCTAGCAGTCACAGGTCAAATTAAAAAAGCTTCAAGTTATGCAAATATATTTCAAAACTAGTAACAGCAGACAAATCGTTAACAGGAAACAATATTAATATATTGCAAACTTGTGAAATTAATAATTAAACAATTTCTAAATACTGGTAAAGAGGACATGAGGAGTAAAGCTTACTGTGGGGAGAAATGCAGTTTAGTCCAGAGAAGACATTCACATTTTTACAAATAAAATGGAGAGTTAATTGCTGTTATAATGGCTGTGTGATGCAGTCATGATAGATGCAGCGTAACTAACACACAACATTTATCAAGTGTTAGACAGACTTACCGGAAGTCATCCAAACTCAGGCTACTTCTGCAACAACATGCACATAAAGTACCTCAGAGCCCAGGAGAAAATAATGTTAAAAGAAAAAAGAAAAAAAAACCCACACCCCCAAATTTCACAGATCTATCCCAACAAAACTGAATAGGCTTTGACCATCACAACAGATTAATAAAAAATGTGGTAAAATTAGGAGTTCCTGACCTAAAAACCTAAGAAAGTGAAATGTGAACAGTACCTACACATTTCATCACCACAACCTTGGCCTTTGAATTTAAAACCTCAGTTACTGAAACTTTCAGGTCTTCACTGACATTCAGAACAAGCAGCTACCAACACATAAAGGACGACTTTCATTCTTAAAGTCACCTGTAGTGCCGAACAGGCAGCTAACACCTTTTTTTTTTTTTTTTTTTTTCAACCTGTGTTCAGAAGTCATGTAGGAATCTAGTTCATTTGGCCAATACAAAGAAAGAACTGTGGATTTATAGATCTTTAAAGAAAAAAAAAATTCAGAGATTTTAAGAACTGTCATGTATTTTTGACCTTCTACATAACCTGGTACATGGAACCAATGCCTTAGCTATCAACTCAGTAATTCCAACCGAGATGTTTAAATGGATTAACCATAAACACAGTCACCACACACATTATTTTAATTCACTGGAGCTACTGAATTCAGGACAAACTGATATGGGATTAAAATATTCAAATTTTAGATTTTGTTTTACAAGAGGAATTGATTATAAGGTATCTTACATTGTCTTTAGTCATGTTAACTGTGAAACTGGAAACATAACCTACCAAGTTGGAACTGATGGTGACAATTACATTGCGCACAACTGTTTACAGACTTAATTCTGTGGGTTTTACTCCTAAGCACTCCCCAAAATTGTTAGTATCTTTTCTACTTGGTCCTTTACTTGAAAAATGTTTTAATTTTATTGTTATCCCAATGATGAGAAATCAGGATGTGTCTGTTTCTATATGTGGTCACAATGGGTAGAAAATCAAGGCAGATACAGACCTATCCAGAAATCTGGGAGCTGATATCACATAATGGCTTTTCTTTTTTTGTTAGACTTTCAACACAGAACACCTTTAAGTAATGTAGTAATGTATTATAAATACATAAATATGTGAGAGGGAGAGGGAATTCTTGTCTTCTCTTACACACACTCAAAATTAAGTCATCAGAACTGGAAATTAAACCACCAGTTTTCATTGGCCACACACATTAAACATTACGTGGAAAATACCAGTTACAGAGTTAATCTGTTGACAGCCACTGTTAGTTATCACGTTATCAGGATATCCTCAATGTGATTTCTTTGCACTCCAGAAATACTTGGGACTTCTCATCTATTACCTCAGCAGTTTTCATAGCATGTTACTTGTCCTATCTGTACACTAAAAGCTATGATTATTTTGCATAGTTCAAAGAAGTGATTCAAACCAGAAATTACACACTGATAGTCACTTATTCCTACATTCCCACTTGTATTTTCTAGAAACTGCTCTCTAATTTTCTTGTTTTACAATAAGTGAAATCTTTCAACACATTACCCACATGTACATTCCACTGAGATTTCGTATCTACTACTTGATCTGACTTTTTAGCAGTAATATCTATGCAATACACACACAGTACCCCTAGCAAAGCATCAAAGATATGGAAAACAGAACTCATCTCTTTGCATACAATTTCTCTCAGCTGGAACTAATGCTAGAATTGGGAAGAAAAGACAGGATAAGGTATGTGCATATGGATAACATCTGGAATAATTCCATAAGTAACCTTTTTTTAATTATTTTTTTTTCCCCTTGGCAGTAACTGTCTGTACCAGATTCTGCAGAGGGAAACTGCAAAGCAACAGGCAAACTACTTTCAGATAGGACCTCTGTTTCATGGAAATAATCGAGGCACCGCTTCAGGAACATACAGTATCTCGTATCATAAACCATCATACATACTCAGGGCATTCAAATTGGTCTCAAATATAAACCAGATACATTTTCCATAATGCTATGGATGGTGTTTGAACTCCAGGGGAATACGCTGTAACAGTCCCCAAACAAAATTTGGTTATTTTGTAGCCAGAGATTTATTTCAAAAAGTCCAAGTAGAGACTGCCTTTAATTTCATCCTTTCTGTTTTGGAAAGCAAAGCACCAAGGAGGTGACCTACATGTTTTCATACTTTAACTAGATTTAAGAAATGTATGACAGGCTACTTTCCATCCTTGATATGAATAATTTTGGAAAAGATGCCAGAAGATAGATTTAAAGGTCTGGATGAAATCCTGTAGCCATCTTCAACAGAAGCTGGAATGTGTTTTAAGGTCACCATTCCTAGTGGAGTATCATGCAGGGGAGAAATGCAGTTTCATCCAGCTGCCTTCCATGTCTTTTTGCTAAGAAACAGAAGCTTGTCAGCACCAATCTTAAAAAGCACTACACCAAAGCTTGAGTCTTGGATCTACAAGAACTATAAGGACTACATCATAGATGTTCTAGATGGAGATATATTGAAGAGAACCACTTTGCAGCTCTTTTAAGACATTAGCAGCGGAGGAAGGGATCTCACAATAATACACCTCACAGTAGGCTGCAAGTCAAGAGGGCTGCTGCTAGGCATAATGAAAGCAGAAAAAGTTAGATAAATTGCTGTAATCTGAGATGATAAACACCAGCATTTTCTCCAGTACTGTGGATCTTATTTCAAATCAAGAAAGAAAGCCTATCCAAATTAAAGACTGTCTCACTGAAGTTTTCCTTCTGTTGGCTAGACCATAAGAGCAACTCAGTTGGGCTAGTCTGTGACTGAGCCATCCAGCATAAAATGAAAGACAAGAATTGATGAGACCTCAAGCTTAATCAACCCAACCCCACAGTGGAAAGTTGCCCATCCACACCACAGGAGATGCTCTTCTCCACAGGCCCTAAGGAGCCTGAAGGTGGTCTGTAAGTAGCGCAAACCCAGAAGAGAGGCTTCTGATGCTACATTTCTGTGATGAATGGGGAGAGTTGGGGGATAGAAAACACATTTGACCTAGGAGAAATGGCAAATCCTTCTTGTCAAAACAAGAAGAGATTCCCATTGTATGCCCAGGTTGGTTAGATGCAGAGTACACTGTACCTATCCCTGTAAGACCCAAAATCCAAGAAGACCCAGCTTTGCACCAACAAAATGGTATTCATATATACAGTCAATTAAATTGCCACTTTATTTCCATGTTATCTTATTCTCACTGTACATTTATTTTTCTCTTCCCCCTTCTCAAACGTTGAGGTCTAAATCACATTTCAAATTATTTAATGTAAAACACTTCAAAGCAAAGAGTTCTTATATAATATTGATTGCTCCTTCAGTATGTAATTTGGCCATTTAAAAAAAAAAAGTAGAGCTAAAAATTTAGTCAAATTAGTATCAGCCAGTAGCAAAATGCCTATGGTTTAATGGTTTGATGCCTTTAACTAAAAAACAAAGAAAAAACACTTACAGATGCTACCATACCTACCTGTTAAACTTTGAATTGCGTGTTGGTGACTCTGCTCCTTTTAAAAGGTGTCTGAAGTACTACAACAGACAAATAAGGTATCAAAGAAAACACTTTAGTAACTGAGGTAAGAGCTACTATGCAACGACATTGCAGAACTCAGGAAACAAGAACAGAAGTAAAAGGCAAGCTGACCATAATGTAAGAGTTAGAATATTCACCAGGAAAAGGACAGACCAAATTTGCAATACATGCTCCCAGGACCACTTATTTTACTTTACTAGTCTTGGGATTAAAAAAACAAAACAGAAATAAAACTAAAATTAAACATGAAAATCCATGTTTCCTCCTTGTTTAAAAAAAAAAAAAAATTAAGCATTTGAAGCATTGTAGGTATTACGGGAAAGATGACTACCAGTACCATTTTTGAGAAATACACTTTATTATGAATAATGCCAAGCAAGGCAAGTACCCATTCCCAGGACAAGTCAATAAATTCTGCCTCAAATAAATGTCAGAAGCTTAACATGCAACCTGATTTACACACACAAACACTAAAAGGGACAAGAATTCAGACTCACCTCTGCATTTAAAGTGTTTCCTACTAGAAGGCTTTAGGCAGCTGTTGGCCCAGTGTAAGGATTATTATTAATTTTTTTTTAAACTTGCATTCAGAACCCAATCATAGAACAATTTCAAATGCCTAGTAAATTGCTTTGAATGACCTTCCTGAAAACAGACACCTAACTTTTAGCTGCTGGAATGTATAATGCTGAAGGAATTGAAATACAAACTTTGTATCTTTCATTAAGTACCACTGTATTTTAAAAAGTAAATAAGGAGATTCTTAAAAGTGTTCTATGCCTATCATGCAGATTAGTTTTGCACCAAATTTGCAATCATAGAAGAAGGGGTCGAGAGGATTTTGTAATAGCAGTAATATACACAAATTGTTACATTAAAAAATGAAGAGGGTTTTTTTTAATGTTGTTTTTTAATTCTGTTGATGATGTGTTGAAGTAGAATAAATTCTTTTTTCTTGTTGACAATGGTCCCAGCTCTGGTATGCTAACTAAAGTGGAAAATGAAGACATATTTTTCAGTTCTACATGCACATGACTGTTGTAAATAGGGTATCCTAAAAAAAAATACAATCTGGCTTCAAGACTACTTTTCAAATCTTTCACACTTACCTCATCACTGTGACAGAACATAGGAGTAAAAACGTTCTCAAGTAGAGAAAGTACATGCTCATAAGCTTCAAAAAGACACCTCATAGTTTGAAGTTTCACAACATCCATATATGGACCTTCAGCAACTACAAAAAAGTTGTAAATACAAATAGATATATATACAGGCATATAAAGTTTGGGGGTTTTCTGGTCTGAGTTTTGTGAATGCTTTGCAAGCTACTATAAGTCTGACAAAAATAGAAATAAACTGAGAAAACATGGCTTAAATACAATATAGCAAGGGGGTAACAATTTTTAAAATTATGACAAAAGTAAAGATTGATCATATTCAGATGAATTAGTCTTCACTTTATTACAGAATGCTGTTTAAATTCCAGTGTAAATCATTCCTTTCAAATTCAAACTTACTTCTTTGAATCTCTTCCACAATAAAAGGGTCAAATCTAATTTTGTCAATGCTTTCATCCAAACAATAAGTTTTATAAATTTTCTGTACTTCCTCATGAAGAGACATCTTTTCAGTATCTGACAGTTCTGGTCGCAAAATTCGGTCATTGAATTCCTCTGAGAAGTAAAGGAAAGAAAACGCATTTGTTGATCAACTCGGCTAACAAATAGCATCTTGAAGCAACCTATAACATCAACTCATTTTCCAGCAGACATAGTAATTTGTAAAAGTTTAAAATGAATAGAAACAGAAGACATCTCAAAATCTCAGGTAACAAAGTAGTTGCCTTCTTATTAACTATAATTCAGATTTGTTCATAAAATTATTACTAAAAATATATTGCAATTAAAACTATTCCTTATCACAGTAAGGATAAATCCATGAAGTTGTTCCTGGCAGAAAAATGAATCAGAATAATTAATTTTTTCTTCCTAAATCACCAAATTGTAAATTGTAGTTTTCTTTCAGCATGATTTCCAGTTCATGCTAGACACACACAGAGCCCCAACAGCCCTTTATACCAGTCATCTGCCTATTCTGCTGCTATTTCATTCCTGAGACACAAGCCATCAAAATATTTTCAGTATCTTTAATATCAGACTAACTTGAGAATGAAGTTCCTCTGACAAAATAAAAATTCTATTCAGCACAATTATTGTGCAATCCTGCTTGATTTATTGGTCGATCCCATTAATAGCATGACTCTGGCCAGAAAGAAGGGAAAATAAGGTAGCGTTTGATTAATTTTTCAATTAATAGACAAAACCAAACTTCTTCAGATAAAGTCTGCCAAGTCCCTTCTGAGTTTTTTTGCAGTTTACTTTCCTCAGTAAGTGCTTGTTTTCAAAAATATTTATATCAAGTGAAGAACCACCTACAGTAGACAGTTTGGGACAGAGTAACTTGAGACACCTAAATTTCATTCTTTGTTTTATAAGCTAATATACAGACTTGCCACCTATGAGGATGCAAGAAAAGTTTAGAAGGAAGAAAATGCTGAGGTTTATCCAGAGAAAAGATTGATCATGGACAATAGCCACAATTTGAGTAACCTTCCTGCTAGAGGGAGCAGCTCTAGAAGGGTCAGCTAAGAAACCCCTGCAGGTACCACCAGCACCGAAAAGGTAATTGCTTTGTTGGTTTTTGGTGAGGAGACAAGTTTTTCTGACAAAAAGCCACCATGTTTGGAAGGATTATGAGCTGCATGCACAGACATTATTTATATTTCTCTTATATAAATGATTAATGATTTTTGCAGTATTTTATGAGATAAAACCTGTCTAATTTAATTTCACATCTTCCTGATGTATGCATGGGCTTGGGATATGAAGACACACACGTTATTTCCTATGCAATATGGAAATACTTGTTAACTAAAAAATCCCCAATGTTATTTTGGTAAGCCAGTAATTAACTACTAGTTGACAAAAAAACTTGAAATAAACCAGTCTAACTTACAGAAACTTCACAGAAAACCTTGTTTGAAAAGCCTTCTGCTTTCCAATGATAACACTTGTGTAACGGTAAAACCACACGCATGCTTCATAACCAAGGTTTCAACACCTTTAATGTTCCTGTTACGTTTCTGTTCTTTACAGAAATCAGAATTTTAAAGCTAAAGGAACATGAGAGGCTTTTCATGATGAACAGCTCATTTTAGTAATATTTTAGTAACCACATATTAAAATAAGGCAGCTGTACTTTGCATCAGTGGCCAGAATTTTTTTCTTATAAGAATATCCTATTTTAAAATGTCCAACCTTTACCAATAAACAGAAGTACAATTAAGACCTACAGTCCATGTCAACATTAACGTTGCCAAGATTAGCATTCAAGAATCAGGACATAATAAAGTGAACACAGATCCCGAAAGGAAATCTCTTGCTTAACAACGCTCCTAGTTCTGAGACTGAATATTCACTTCAATGTGCAAATGCCTAAAGCTTTTTAAAGATCATCAAATACACCTCAGCACACGTCTGCAATCTTACCTACAGTCAGGCAGAACTGCAGCACATGGACTGCCCCTTCCTGTTTCAGGAAGTTCATAAACCGAAATAAAAGGTCTTGCTGATCTCTGATCTCCTTTAGCTCCAGTTTCAGGACCTTAGTAGGTTAAAAATGCAGTCAGTCAATTTTCAAACTTTCAGTGAGTACGTAACTAATGCAAGGAGTTGTAGAACAAAAACAGCAGGTAAAGTAAAACACTTATTCAAAACAGGAAAGGAAATATATGTTGCCTTTACTTACAGATGGTTTTTTATTTCTTGGCTCTGCAAATTTCTGAAGAAATGGAACCAATGAAGAAGTAGGTTCAGTTGCTTTCTCAGGCTGTAGAAAAAAATGACAAGAGACAATTGGGTAAGAAAGTTTCCTTAATGGGTGAACAAATTACTACTGTTCTAATTTTGTCAGTACTCACTGGACTATCATCAATGAAGATCAGCAGCAAATGGTTGACAGTGTCCTGCAGGAAAACACAATAAAAAATTATTATTAAAGAAACCCAACCAATTAGATGAAAATTGTTTCACTACTATGTCATGTCCAAGTTTAAATCTGTGACTATATTAATACTTTAAAAAAAACAGAGCCTGGCAACATATGTCTGAGAATTAACCTTCAACAGTCATCTTAAATATTTACAAGTCAAGGAACTTCTGAAGAGACCTGCACAGGAACATTCTTTACCCAGTGGAGGAAAGCACTACAAAGTAATTTTACGGTTAGTGCAGATCTAATGAACTACTAATACTTCCACAGCTACAGTACTTTCTGCATGCAGCTAGGTGATACCTTCATAAAAGTATTGCGATTTTCCTATTAAATTACATGCAGAAATAAGGATGGTAGCATTCCATCTTTAGAAATAAATGCCCTCTTATTTGCAGAATTAAGGACAAACAAATTGATTTCAATACAGTTGCAAAAAGAGCTGATTTACTTACACCGCTATAAAATACATACAGCTAGAGTTCAAGTTCAAATAATGTAAATGTAGTTATAGCAATTTGAAGGTGCTTATACCAGCACAGCATTCTCCCATTTGACAGGAATTGCAGTCCTTCATTAAAAATACATTCTTAAGAGATCATGCTTGATCATACTGAATTTTAGTCAGTTCAGTCAGTCCAGCACTCAAACCAGTTTCAATGAACAAACAAAAACTTTAGCCACAAGATTTCTTTCTCTTTTACCCAGTCAAAATGCACAGCAAGTAAGTCATTGTGCATCATTTGCTTTACCACAACATACTTAGTAGGAAAACAGTAATACTGAAAAAATTAAGATTATTCCTGTGCTCCAAAGTCTTACAGGATCAGCTAAGAAATCCATTGAGGGAAGGAAAACAGAACCAGGCAGAATCTCTCTTATCAGAAGAGCCAGGGATCTGAAAAGAAAAAAGAAAAAAGGAAAGAAAAGAGAAAAATCCGAACCAATACTACATTACATATTTTTTCCAAGTAAAGTTTCCAGTGCCATTATATTTTACTGGGAAGTATTTTAGTATTTAATAATACCTTAAGCATGCTTTAAGACCAATAAAAAACCCCTCATAGGCAAAGGGATATGAAGGAGGGATGAGGAAAATGACTGGAGTTTATTCTTCCACTCTCCAAAACTACTGTACTACATAGTATGCAGATACTTTAAAGAATACAATTCTAAATAATTTCTATACCTGCACTCTGTTGACTTTGGGGGCAAAATATAAGGAAAAAGAAGTTCGGTAAGTTTTCTTAAGTAGTGAAGTTCATCTCTTCGGCTTCTCAAAGCAACATGGAGTTCTGGTCCATATTCTTCTAAAGCAGCTTGCTGTAAAAATTCTGCATTTTTTACTGCAAGTAAAAAAGATTATTATGAGTTGTTTCAGCTTTTTCTTATTGTGAAATAAGAGGCAATTGCTTTTCACTCGAGCTAAAAAGTTAATACTTTTAGTACATATACAACTGCCAAAGGGATACAATGTTGAAACTTTACAAATGAGCCTTGGCTTAGACTTTGAAGTCTGGCTATGTGAAACTAAAACCTCACATTGAAATAAGAATTCCTTCACCAAACAATTGCAGTTTGCATGGTTTCCAGAATGTTTTCTCATTTATAATTTTTAAAGAGCTCAACATCTTGATTCTTCTAAAAAACTGCATTGCCCAAAGTCTGCCTCTACTTGCTTTTTTCCTGACATCCTTCAGAGTCTCCTGTTTATTGGGCTTCTACCTATTGACTTGCCTACAACACAATCTGAAATCAACGTAAACTTAAACTTTTATTCAATCCTGTTATATCAGTTTCCTGCTTAGAACATTTACAAACAAACATGAAGGAACATACATTCTAATCACAGCACAAATCAAACCAAAACCAGCATGGGGATCTGCAAGAGTGCTGCCTCTTAGAAGTCTCTGTATGGAGTTGAAAGAATACCTGCTGTATCAGATTAAAAACTATACACATTAATTAGAAGCAACAATGTTATACTCCTTCAAATCACTTCCAAGGCAAGAACTGAGTAGTAATAAATCACACCTAGCAATCTGGCACAGCCTCATGCCAAGAACCCCATCAGGCACAGGTCAGGTACCTAATAATTACCTGTTATCTAGAGGGTTGAAGCTTGTTTCCAGCATACTGAATTTAGTACAGAAGCCTGCTAGCTTGTCCTTCACAACCAAGAACCATATCAGCTGATATGCAGGATACAGGAATGTATATTGCCTGATAAATCTGCCTAGCTGGTGTCACTAAAAGCAGAGAGGAGGAATGCGCTCTCTGGCAAGGATAGGTATACCTATGAACGATGGAGGTGACTGTGCAAATGATGAGGAATTACTAAGATATGTAAGAGTAAGAAGAGTAGAAGAAAAAGGAATGCCCCCTAAGGCAATAATTTTAAAAAGGATTTAGAAAATAAACAAAACAGAAAAGGTTAGGCTCAACTAGCAACCAAAGCAAGGTCTGAAGGCTGCCTCTGAACCATGTATTATGGTGGCTCGTTTAGCAACGTTTACTAGAAAACGCAACTAAAAGCCATTTTCAGCTGCTGCTTCACATATCTGCCCTCAGGGAATGAATCTTTTCCTTCAAAACACTGAAGAAAATTGCTATATTTTCAATGCCTTACATTTAAAATACAGTTCTTTGCCGCTAAAGAAGTGTTTCCAACTCCTTAGTAGAAATCAAAGGAAATAGGAAATTTGCATAAACAGCACTGCAAAATAATCTAGTATCTTGAAATAGATGTCTTTCATGGCACAACAACAAACATGATCACACTATGTCTCATTATTTCTGTTATTCATTACCCACTACTCACAGGACCAATGGCATATATTTACGGATATCAAGCAGACATTTTGAGGGAATGGAGGAAAGTTCATGACTCCAGTGAAAGTAAACATCTATGCTTAAAAGTTGAGTGAAACCACATTTAGTAGATACAGCATTATGGAACACATCCAGTGATAAAAATAAAGGTAAATATTTACCAACAGCAAGTGTTTTATTTTCCAAATATTTCTTCAATGTGCAGTTTTAATATAATTTTTACATTAGGCTTGTGAGGATATTTTCATTTGGATAATAATTAAATATGCTACTGCTTAAAGTTGCACCATGGCTTATAAACAAAAACCTAATTTTTCAACATATTGAACAATTCCACTAACTGCTCATGTTAGTGTACAGATGTGAAATCATTCTAGCCATAAGAGTTACAGTACAGTGCATGGACATGCAAATCCTTTCATCTATAATTGCTCGCCTGGAACACAGAAGAAAAACTTGAGGAAGCATTGCTAAATTATCTTGATTGCGCTGAACAGACAAAAACCCCCACATTCCTGTTTACTATGCAGAGAAAGAAATTCAGTATTTTCAATGTGTGTAAATGAAAATCAAAACAGAGATTATTTGTACTGTAATTTTTTTCCCTATTTGTCTTTGCAACCTCCAGAAGAAAAATGCAAAAGGATTTTTTTTTTAAAGAAAGGACAATGAGGATGAAATGATTTAGCAAATATAACAAACAAACATGCATAAAGAAACATTTATACTTGCCCTTTGAAAATGACAACATAGTAAGTCTTTACATTACCTTTCTGTCTGGCCTTGGCTATCACTTCGATGTGTTTCATTGCTGCCTTGAGCATTTTCTTTGTTACAACAGTTGGAATATCCACCTAAAGAGTAGTTTTAAAATAAAAACAGAATTGTTCTATTTTTTCCCCCAAATTTATTAGAGACAACTGTCAAAGATATTAATTTGCTTATATGTCCCAATTCTAACCATAAAATGAACACTTAACAAACAACCCATGAATTTTCTAGATGAACTGACAGTATGCTCATTCTTCTGGGCAAAGCACATAACATCATGTAGAACTAAATGCCATAAACAATACTGTTAATACATTTATTGTCCCATTAATACATTTATTCCCATTATGATTCTTCCCTTGCAATAATTATAGTAATGCAACTTGATTTCCAAGTCACAGTATATGCAGCCTAGTTCTACATGAAGATGTGACCACCAACAAAAGCAAGTTAACTCTCTGCTTCTAGTACTTGTGTACCTTAACCCTCAGCAATCACCTCCACAAGGACTAAAAGCAAAGTGAAACCCTCTTCTTTATGTATATGCAGAAAAAATGTCACAGCTCAGGTGATGGCAGAACCAAAAGAAAATTTCAGTTACTGAGTCAAGACAACCATCAGTGCCATCAACAATACTGTATGATTTAATCAAGGATTATATTAGAGTCCTGCATTTATACTTTCTTTGATGGCTATGAAAATGAAAGGATAATTATAGAATGATTCAGGTGCAAATGGACCTGAGGATGTCTTAGCCCAACCTCCTGTTCAAAGCAGGCTCAGATTAGGGTGCTCAGGGCTGTATCCTCCTGAGATGAAGACAGTCACCTCCTCACAGGTCAAATGCTCCAGCCCCAACCATCTTGGTGACCCCTTGGTTGAACTTGCTCCACTCCATGTCTCTTTTGTCATGGGGAGCCCAAAACTCGATGCAGTATCCTAGATGCCATCTGAAGAGCATCAAGTAAAGATAGATAATCACTTTCCTTGATCGATTAGTTCTGCTCCTGTTAACGCAGCCCAGGATGCTGCTGGTGTTCTTTGCCACCAGTACGTACTGCTGGCTCATATTCAGCTTACTGTCTACCATGGGAGCAGTTCCTTTGCAGCAGAGCTTCTCTCCACAGCCAGTCAGTCACCAGCCTGTGCAGCTTCAAGGGATTTTTCTTCATCAGCTGCAGTAGTTACCACAGAAACTTGTCTAGAAACTGATTTACACTTTGCATGCCCTTTATTTTAAGCAAGGGCAAAAGACGTCTCAGAGAAGCAGAAATATACAGTTACAAATGTTCAAAATTTAAGACTTCTGAACAAGCTTCTTTCCTAATAGAGTTTGCTCCTCCTCAATACTAAGTCAAGTAAGACTTAAGTTAATGAAACAGAAGCATAAAAGTGTTTCTTGCCAGACAAAGAAAGAGACAGTGTAATTGCAAAGGCCACTAGAGCTGAAAGTTGTTTTTTTTATTAATTCGTACAAGGAGAATAGCATGTATTCCTGCACACTCCCCTGTAATATTTGAGGTGCACAGTTGTGACATGACCTGGGCCAGCCCAGACAACTAGTACAATTGACTAGAACTACCTAAAAGTAACTAACTAAATTAAGGTTGTCTACTATTTAAAAGCAAGAAAGTAGGAGCTTCTGCTCATCAATGGAAAACCCTGTCCTTTGGTACTCAGATTTCAACAGTATTTTCAATAAATCAAGAGTTTCCTATGGAACACAGGGATTAGGGGAGTGTTTATTCCTGCAGATGTAAGTCAAAAAGCACAGCAAGCAAACTGTTATCAACACTGTAGTAGATACTATCAACTTTTGACAAAAAATTTCAACCAGATGCAGGGCTATCAACACCACACCATACAAAGGGAAACCCTTCACTTTCCCTTCAAAACTCACAGCCATGGCCACAACAAGGAAAATCCAGATTTAAAAAAAAAAAAAAAAAAAAAAAAAGAGAGAGAGAAGTATTTCAGCATATACTTAAGAGCTTACTGGCCTGAAGTGCTCTTGTTACTTTATTCGACAACCATGCCTCAAAAAAATCCACCTAGGCAGACTTAAACAGGAAACAAAGAAATTCTTTTCACTGAAGCAATTCATAATTTTAAGTCTTAATTCAAAAGTAGAAGACTCTTTGGCAAAAAAGTATAAAGATATAACCTAAAAAAGAAAAAAAACCAGTCTGTTTTTTCTTACACATAGTAGTGCCTGAATTTAAAAATTTTATCTCTATTAGCTAGAACTATTGCTTTCAACCATTTAATAATAAATCCAAATCAAAGTACAGCTGTTTGGCAAAGGTGTAAGACTATTTTATGTTGCAATCGGTGATAAATTTCTTCTCACATGAAGTTATAAAGGACACTGTATCAGAGCTGAAAGGCTATAAAACATTCTGTCATAAGCCTTTTCAGCTAACTACTGAAGCTTTAACTAGGATTCCTAAAATGACAAAAAGTTGGTATTTTTTCTGCAACTTGCATATCATCTCTGATTTCTACACACAACATTTTCAGTAGTATATGCATCACAGCTATTAATTGAGGCTGAATGAATCTGTATGTGGGTGTGCGCACACACAGAAACGCTTCTTCAGCAAAAAAAAAAAAAAGTATGAGTTGAAAATATAACATAGCATGACAAACCATGACGCCCTGCATGGCTGAGCGTGCCAAGTTCCAATTTTGCTCCAAAACACAAAGTTACTATGAGTACCTTTTTGCTTGAGATATCTGTACCACTTCACACACAGAGAAAAAATAAGTTATATTATCCTGCAGGATGGATACAAATAAATCTAAACATTTGTAAAGAGAAATGCATTTTTGTGATGACCTTTATTTTGTAGTTCCCCTGACAGTGCTTAATATTTGCACACATCTTGAGTTTTTGTTGCACACACTGTGTACCCAGATACACAGAACTGAAGATAGTACATTTATTTCATTAATGTTAAAGGCAGATATGGTAAATTAACACTCTATTTAAAGATGCTATAGCTGATCTGAGATAACATGATTAATACCTTATTATATGATCAACAGAGGAGACATCATCATTTTCTGAATCAACAATGGATCTACAAACAATGCAACTAACACCTGCACGTATTACAACTCCAAATTAAATTTTAAGACCTTGCTCTAGATTTTCACTTTGAAAGATTTTTCTCACTTTCACACCTCCATGTGTCTGCACTACACAGACATTTCCTAATCTTCACCATGTTCACTTTAAAAAGCAACAGAGTAAACAACAAAGTTATCTGGATTTGATATATAACAAGGACAGAATCATGTTGTTAATCAGTCATGACAGGGTGTATGTACAACTCGTAGCTCAGGAAATAGTGCTGTTACCAAGGAGGGGAAAAAAGACACACATTTATGGTAGCTGTTCCAACAGAGGGGCCAGCACGGAATAAATCTGGAAACTGAGTTAGCAACTCTTCCTGCTTAGAACTGCCAGAAAGTTAGAAGCAGTTCCTGTAAAGCAGGCTTGAAGCACTTTACCAGGAAAGAGAGTGTATGTGCTAATATATTAAACACAACAAATAAAAAAATTGAATCTTCAGTCTTCAAAATGTTTCTTAAGAACTATATTAATATAAAAACCATACCTGGTTTAATTCATTTAATGACAGTCTATTCTTTATAGACAATGTAAGGACCCTGTCGGCATTTAAAGAAGTCAAGCAAGCAGAAGCTATGAGACAGGTACACTGTTAAACATTTTTTAATATTTCTTTTTCAATAATTCTCAAAATTGTTTCCACTTGGATTAAGTCACTAAAAGACAGCTAAAAGATCATCCCAAGGTTTTAATAATGCCTTCCACTGCTGTAAAAAATATATACATTTGCAAGAATCATAGAATGGTCTGGGTTGCCATGGACCTCCAAAGATCACCTAGTCCAATGCCCTGTTGTGGGCAGGGACATCTTTGAGTAGATCAGGTTGCTCAAAGCCATGTCCAACCTGATGTTGAACACTTCCAGTCATGAATCTGCAAAGACACTTTATAACCAGAAATGGGATAAGCTCCAGAAGCAGGGAACAGAAAATGCAATGAAGAAACTTAGATGGAAACTGCCTGTACTCTCTGTAAGGTTGACTTTGGTATCACCCTTTTTTAAAAAAAAATAAAAAACTCACTACAGGTGGATAGCGGTTATTTCTGATGGAAAATTAACTTTAAGCCACAGTAAGTTACCTTACCTTGTGAATTCTCCGAACTAATACAGACGCAAAAAACCGCAGTGTGCCTCTCAGTTCATCCACTGAGGATTCATCATCAGTAATGTTTCTGCAATGTTGTAAAGCATGTCATGTAAGAAAACAGAATAAAACACATTTATGTTAATCCAACCACAACACATTTGGCACTACTAAAAGCTGGAATAAGAACATTCAACGGTGACAATTCAACTGGTATTAACTGAAATAAAGGCTACCAAGTGTTGGCAGAGAGTAAGCAGTCTTCTATTTGAGTAAAACATGCAGCATTCCCACTATGTTTGCACATACAATAATGGCTTAAGGCATATATCAGTAAATTGCAATTATATACCAATTCCTGCTCTAATATACTGTCTGCCTGATTTTGACAGAGTAAAATCTAACTTAGTTTCCACATATGTGAATGTTTCCTAGTCCAGTGGCATGAAGTGAAACTGAATTAATATCGGTAAAGCCTTTGGAATAAGAGTATTGCAAGCACACACACCAGTCAAGCTAGTCAAAATTGACTTCTCCATATTGGATACTACAAGACCTTCTATACTACAAGATTTCAAATAATTTTCTTCTGCTTTAGTACAAATCTGGCTTTGTTAACCTCTTTTATAATAAAAATTGGTAGTTTGTCGTGTAGCTTTTAATGAAATAGGTACATCCCTTGTGTTTCAGCTCAGCCTCTTCCAATAGAAAACTTTCATTGGTATTTTTTCAACAAGTTCTAATACTTAAATGCCATTCAATACAATAATATTCTCTCTTTTAAATATAAAATTGGGCCTATTTCTGGTCTAAACAGAGATTGCCATTTCCCAGAAGAGAAAAGAAAGCATAGCACAGGAAACTGAAAATGACAGAAATTGTTTTTTTAAAAGTTGATCTACTTTTGATGTAGCATGAAATGCGAAACCATCATTTACAAAGAAAACAAAACAAGAACCTCTATCTATAGCTACTTGGAACAGAACTGAAATTATCTAACCTGGGTCTGCTTGGAAACAAAGAAATAAAGAAGAATTTAAACAGATTCCCAAATCACTATGTCAAAATACCATCTAAACTTTTTATCTGGTTTGTCAGTTTCCACCTGCTGCAATAAAGTATGTTCAGCGAAAAATCATGGCAAAAATACTTACAGTTGATTCAGGAAGACAAACACCTAACTCCATGTCTTTTTTGGGAAATTGAATTAAAATGGGAAATACACTAAGTCTTAGGCACAAAAACTGCAACTAAACTGAGTGGAAAGAGACCATGATAATAGCATTCTGCAAAATGCAACAGAAAGAATAAAAATCTACCAGCATTTAAGCATATATGGACATTAGAGTATGACTGAAGATATTGGTAAAACTGCATTATAATAGCTGACTAGTGACGCAACAAAGTTATATCCTGCTTTAGCTAATGACCATATGTAAAAAGTACAGTTTTTGGTAACAAATGAGTTTGCATATGTAGTAAATGCAAATATTATTTGCATTAAAAAAATCAGTGCAAGCAACAACAGTACCTTTGAAAAATAAAAATTTTATGCCTATAAGATCATTTTACATTATTCAGCATCTCATTTTTTAAAGTAATGTTAGCCTGAGTTATATACGCATGTTGAAGATGAACCACTAGGTACAGATACTGCTGACTTGACAGTCAAAGCATGCAACTAATTGCACGGGAAAGCACCTCAAAGAAAGTAGCCTGACATAAGGAATACAACCACCCTCCAACAGCTAACCGCATGCAGATAAGAATACTGCAGGGGAAGGTCTGGTTTGTTTTAAGATCAACAGCTGACATTTTTGAAGCAATATGGTTAGCAAATACCCACACTGTCAAAGGAAGCCAAGGGACTGCAAACAAATTGTACGACTGTATTACTAGTATTTGACAGACAACAAGATACATGAAGTAATTTGGACTAAAACGTTGTTATTTTATTGACACTTGGATAACCAGCATCTTGGCTAATTCTATTTGGACATGACTTTATACCACGTACTTTCACAGTGCGCCACAGGTTTGCAGACACATTCTTTTAATCACCAGCAGACTGAAGACTGGTGAAAAAAACATCAAGAACCTGTAAAATCTCAAATCTCTAGTGACACAGTGGAAAGTCCAAATAACTCGCTTGGAAACAATTTAAAAATTGGCTGCATTTTCCCAGAATTTGAGGAAAAACTTAAACGCACAACTGTCAGTATTACAGAAAGATTTGCTAAAAGAAAATGGCTCAGTCTGTTAATTGTAAACAGTTACTGAGTCCAATGTCTCAAAAGAGATACACCCAACTGCTCTTGCAGTATCTTATGGGATCTACTGATAAATGAAAACCATACACAAATTCTGAAGTTATTTTTTCCCCTCTGTGTGTCAATTATTCTTACAAAAATTGGCCATGCTTATCAAATGGATGAAGAAAAAAGTTGCAAGCTGATGAAACTGTAAAGCCATCGTTTGTAACTCAACAAAAATCCTGAATTTTTCTTGCATTACTTGCATTTAAAATAGAAGCAGGTCCACGTGTGAAAACACTGGGTTTAGTCACTAAAAAATGTTTTCATACTAAGGTATTACAAAAACATGGTAATTACTGGATTCTCCTCTAATCTGAGAGAACTGAAGTTGAAGTAGCATTAATGACCAAAAAAAAAAAATCAGTAAGCATAGAGTGACTCATTCAAACTTTAAATGCTCCTGTTTAAAATGAGGTTGGTATAAGCAAGATATCATATAGTTTTATTGTACAGCATAAACAACACACTCAGACCAGTGTTTTGTAGCTCTGCAAACTTGGATTACTTACAACTATGCTCTATTCTTCTCATAGAGTTGAAAAAAAAATCTTAAACCATAAATATTTAAATATAACCAGTATAAATAATTTGAAAAATAATAAAAAAAATAATCATATAGGTATAGCTACCTATTTCAGTCAAGTTCACTGGATTTTAAGTACTAATCTTCGTTCCCCCAAACCAATCCAAGTTTTTTGCCTCTAAATTTTAACCTGCTAATAAAATATTACAAATTCTTATACAGTTTATTAATGAAACAAACATAAACCACAGCTTTTTCCCTGCTTCTAGCACTTTATTTCATGAGCAATAAATCTATGATTTTATCTTGCAAGATAATTTCTGGTAAGTGTCTGCCCAGACTTCTGAGTGAGATACGTCATTTTACCTCTCTAATGTCCACAGCATGCAAGGTGCTGCAAGGCAGCATCAGCTGGCAAGGCACAAAAAATAAAATAAAAAGGAAGAAATATTATTAATATTATTACTCTTCAGAGGCAGTTTCTGCACAAATTGCATTCACTTGAAAGGGGGGTAGCTAGTGTAAGGAATTAGGCCCAGACTTTTCTGGAAGGGAAAGCAGCAAACTGTTTCACCAACCTAGTCTGGAAAGTCTGAATTGCCTGCTGGTGGTTACCCATGCTGCTAAATAAGGACAGTGTGGATGCAAAGGCTTTTGATTTGTGAAGAATTATCCATAGTCAGTGAGGTTTGTTAGTTCAGAAAAAAACATTTCATGAATGCAAGAGTCCTTTTTCCAGGCTGAGCTGAGCTATACAAACAACGTAGGTACACCGAAGTAGGAAAAGTCAGAACTAACATGCTCTGTGAGACACCCCTCAAACAGCTGCACACACAGTTCAGGCCTCCCTGCACGACCGATGCTGGAAAGCACAGAAACATCTGAATGTCTAGAGGGAATGAGACCAGATCTGACATTACTACTGTTAAGCTGAAAACAGTAAGCCTTTCAGGACCAAGTTGTTTCCTGCAGAATTACTCAGATATCACTGCACTATAGCCCACTGAACTCCCATAAGTACTTCAGGTTCATGGAAAGCTTATTAGGTCTGATCAGCATGGTGTAAACTAATGGAGCTAGTTCAATACCCAGAGGTGCAGCCATGTAAAACTAAAGACAGTGGTGCAGGAACATCTATACAGCTCACCAGAGGGCAAGATGCAGAAGAATCTAAGCTGGCTGGCTCCATATCAAGTACATTTCACACTGCACTTCTAACTATGCATATTACTATCCCCACCATATGATGTATGCCAGACTTCCACCATCTTGGGTGTCAGAGATGTAAGTAATATGTGGAATCCAAGTTTCCCTATCAGTCAAAAAAAAAAAAAAAAAAAAAAAAAAAAAGACATTGATAACACCTTCCACCAGCCAAAAAAGCCTATCTAATTTCAAATTACAAAATACAGAAGATGGTTCCCTTACATTTGTTACTTTATCAAACAACTCAATGGACATGAGCTAGTTTTCTCAGTTTGAAAGTTAAAACCCTTGAGTTTTCCAACTTGATCATTCATAATACATGGTGCTAAAGCTCCCTCTGCTGTTTGCACAAGCAGTTAAGTTTTATACTTCAGTGTATTCACACAGAGATAGATGTGAGAGATGCAGGTATTGGCCACAATTAAAAAACAATCAGGCAAAGAAGTCTTCCTAGACAATTTTAGATCCCAGAGACACACACAAGAAACAGCATAGAGTAAATGAAAAAAGTATAAATTTCTTTTAGCTCAAAATGGAACACTTCCATCCGATGAAAAAGTCAAATTCATAATTAAGGTAAGGTGTTGTTTTAACACATTAATGTCAGCATGATCAATTAAAAATATTTTTAATATCTTCTTACAAAGTACTCTGAAGCACTAACTAATATATAAAGGTATATGGCAAAAAAACAGAAAAAAAAGAATTAGCGTCTTTTTTTTATACATTATTTTATTTACACAGTACTACTCTTTTCAGCTCAGCATAACCACTCGTAGCCTTAAAACTCAGCAAATCAACAGATATTCTGCAAGAAGGTGGCCACAAAATGTATTCACAATACCTTTTCTATATTAACTAAAAGTGGAATTTTTGTTTTTAAAAAAACTGTAAAGTGATTATTATTTTTAAGCAATATGAAAGATCAGTATGTTTTTCATCTGGAAAGAAATTTCTGGGGTTTTTTGAGTTTTTACACAGGTTTTAATCAAGCCACATGTACTTCCAAGTAAGAGTTATTAGAAAATTAACATATAAAAAAGAATAATCTAAAAGTGTTTTTAGGATGAAATACAAATTTCAGAACCACTACTCTGCTAAGAGACAATAAAACAATGAAACCGCAGCAGTTAAAAGCATGCTTTATATTTTACTAAAGAAACAGAAATATTTTTTTGTTCAGATGACTTTCTTAAACAGTTTGATAAACACTTATGATATTCAAAAGTAGGAACTTTTAGGTAAAGCTCATACCTGTACCATGGATAAATAAAGTTTTCCAGCACCAACTCAAGCACCTGTGCAGAACAAAGACAACCACATTACGAAATACCCAGTTTACCATAAATCCGTGTTAGAAGAGTCAAAAACACAAGCACCTTCCAAAACTCATAGAACATAATTCATACATGATGAAACTTTAACATACAAATGTGCACATTGTGATCCTATTGTGAGATCATTTTGCACAATAATCAGTACTTTGGGCAAATAGCAACAAAATACGGTTTCATAAGATATCAACATGAAACGGCTGCCACTAGTACTGTCGACCACACGAAGCACAGTGCCGTGGCCACTGTTAGGCAAATGCCATGAAAAATGCAATCTTACCTCAAACGGCCCTTCCTTCATTTTTCAGATCAGTCCCCATTCCTTTTTGATGTAGTGTGGAGTGTCCCACAGGCACAACTACCTGTCCTACACTTACACGCATCTCCATCCAAACCTCCACCTTCTCTAACTCTCCTCCACCCTCAAAGTGAGACAGTCAATCGCGTGTGCTCACCACTCACAAAGAAAGCAAAAGAAGAATCCTGAAAAGCAGTTCCTAGGAAAGTCATTCTCCTTTCTCCACATCCTGCACCACAGCTTTCAGCAAAGCCTGCCTTAAGGTCCAGCTATGTCCTGAAGTCCCAGAGCACTTGCCAAAAGTCCTTGTCCTACATGTCTCCTCGTGGCCTTCTCCCTCCTCTTCCTAGCCCCTGTATATCCGACCTACACGAATCTCTGTAGGAGAATCTTTTCCACCCTTTCCATCAAACCTGTTCCTCACAGGTCAAGCCTGTGGTTGTCTTTCCCATGCCAGAAAACCCGGGTTAATCAGGAAAAAACAGTGGTGTTGCAGCCATGTCACAGGCACACCCTGGTTCAGCTTGGCTTTCATTGTCAGAGAAGGGAGGTGGAGGAGACGACTGTCCCTGTTCAATCAACGGGCTGCCACCATCACATACACAAGGTGTACTGCTAGTCAGACTGCTAGCCAGACAGCTTTGACATCTCCCCTTACACCTACAAGCAAGTTTCAAGTAACTGTTAGAGTCCTTACACCATGATTAGCAAAAAGAAAACTTTGGAAGGGGAAACGTCAGACAGTGTCAAGAAAAAAAACAAAACAACATCAGTAAGAAGGAAGGATGAAATTTTCTTGAGATTTCTCCTCCTTCACTGTAAGCCCAAGATACACTCTGTACTACCTTCTCCTGTTGCAACCTATCCTTTAATTTGAATCATTGCTTTAGATGGCCAGGGTAGTAAGACAGAATACGTGTGTTGCTACGCGAGGCTGCTGTGCCATACTCTATGGAAGGAAAGGTTTTGCAAAAGAAGCCACTGTGTTCAAAGAAAAACATAAAATCTGTTTGAAGGGAAAGCTGAATGTAACAGCTGATATACAAGTGTCATTTATGAGAGTAAGTATTATTCTTCTTACAAGATTAGCTGCTGCACTCATTCACACTGTATGCACTACAAGAATTCAAGAGTTACTAAATTTATACTATCTTTAGGGCACTACATGCCTCTGCTCTACTCATGATTATAAAACCACATTCAGTAAAATGCACATCAAGGCCTTTTTAATTCTTCTCAATTCTTCAGAGTTGAATAGCTGATGAATACTCTTTTTCTGTCTTCACTACTAAGAATATCGCCTACTCAAATTTGGTATGATACTCTATCTTTTGCAATTGTTCCATTTCAGTGATTTTCCTCCCTTTGTTTTTAAGGGTGAAGGAGAAATTTTGTTCCTTCACCCTCTCTCTGAAGGGATGTTCTCCAGTTTGGGATAACTTCAGATGGCTGTGTAGTGGACCATACAAAGTCACTAATGTCTTTTCTCCTACCCCTATGTGTTATAGCAGTAATAGATCTTGAAATTGTAAATATGATCATGTGTTGATGATGGACGGGTAAGCTAAATGTCATGTCATGTCCATCCCCGGTTTCCCCCCTGCCCCCGGCAAAATCTCATATTTCCATTAAAAGCAGGGTGGAGGGGGTGGCGAGGTGAGGAGGGAGGATGACAACAGATGCTTTACTTTCCAGTCCAGAAGAGATCAAGAAATCCCATGGAATCTTCTTTGGAAGTTAACCTTCAGACAACAGGAGGGAGATCACATCCAGCACCAGTCAGCAAACACAGACCACTGGCCTTAAGAGCAATAGATCAGACAACTCAAGACAATTTTCCTGATGCCTTCCATAGCACTGCCAGTATATAAACCACCAATTTACTCCATAGAAACCTCAGTCTTGTAGGTATTGCAACATAATTTTGTTCACGCAGAGTTTCTAACAAAATAAACCTCTTTGGGCTCAAACCACAAGAGTCTTTCAAAAAAGTGCCTTTCAAAAGCAAAAGCCTGCAGAAAAACCCATACTGTGCATCTGTCTATTAAAGGATCCCTTTTCTTTCTCCCTCCACTTTTGCTACGCACCTCCCCATCAAGAACGACAGCAAACCATCTTCCACTTGAGTGGAAAGCACACCTGAGCAGCCTTCAAGCACAAGGCAGCATACTCAAAAGGAGTACAGTGCACTCCTCTTGAGAGAGCTTTCTTTATCCATGACTGCTACTTTGGAACAGAAAGCCTGTCCATCAGGCTTTCAGTGCATGTGTCACTGCAATTTCAGTTCATCAGATGCTAACATAACTTGTTGGCACTCTCCTAGCCTACAGTCCACAGGCTTTTAAAGCCACTAGAAGAAGGTTTCCAACAGTGAGAGATCTCGTTCTTACTGCTAGCTAAGCCAAACACATGGTTCTGAGAATCATCTTCCTGTGGTTACGAAATCAGCAAGGAAAGCAGGAAAGATGCAAGACGTGATGACCCATCCCACTCTGGATAAGATCTCCTTGAGATTCATGCCATGTTTGTAGTAACTGACTTCCAGTTGAACCATTTCACAGATTTGCCTGTTTCCCTTGTTACCTCCCGCTTCCACAGCCACACTGCAATGAAGAGCTTTATGGCAATGCTTCCACAGGACAAAGCCATGCAGATAATCCCACTAGCCAAAGACCCAGAGGCAGCATGCACAGAGACAGACAACTAACTCAAAATGCACTTGAAGTCCACATATCCCTGGTCCTGACATCAGAGGTAAAGACACGTTCTGCTAGAACTCAAGTTATCTATATGGCCTTAATAAAAAACGCCTTGATCCTGGACACACAGAAAGCAGTCCCTATTTGCACATTTACTAAACACATGGCATGGCAGAGGCAGTTATGTATGATGCTCCATCACACCAAGGTGCTGTACTGAAGCTAGAAGAGAGCTACAGTGTGAAATCCATACTGCAAAATACAAGCACTCAAGGAATAACAGGCAATTGACTGCCAGTAACTGGAGTTAGAATCATAGAATCATAGACTGGTTTGGGTTGAAAGGGACCTTAAAGATCATCTAGTTCCAACCCCCCTGCTGCGGGCAGGGACACCCTCCAATAGACCACGTTGCCCAAAGCCTCATCGTTCAAGGCATACGGTCCATACAGTTTTCCCATGGATCCTATGAGCCTTCCAGACTATATCAGTGTGATTCTGTAAGTCACAGAAAAATCTGTCACATCATCCACGGCATTTTCATAAAGCGCTAGGAAAGCGGGACATGTGTACCCACTTCCATTCTAGCTACACCAACAATATTATTCAAGCTCAATTGCTCACACCATGCACACAAGGAAACAGAGCAGACAGGACATCTCAAAGAATGACAGCTAATGATAAGCAATGTTCTTGTCTGTAAAGTATTATTCTCCAGTTTTAAACACAAATGATGAGTCACATCATTTAAAGCCTACCTATTTTCCAAGCATTTTGCAAAATGACAGGTTCTCCTATGCGTGAGCAGTTTTGAATTGGAAAGAGATTACTAGTGTAAAGTCAAATGTAGCAGATAGTAACATAAGCAGCAGCTAAAGGAAAATACAAAGAGAAATTATTTTCCAGCATGCACTAGAACACTGCAAGCTAGTCAGTCTTTGCTGCCGAGACAAGGTTTCTGTGGACTGCCACAGAACAGACCCAAGTTGTCAGGAGGAGGAATAGTAGAGCTGAGCGAGAAATGATTCAGTAGCAGGTCAGAACTACCAGGCTGAATTAGATTGGAAAGGATCAAGGACTTGATGAGTAAACCACAAAGACAATTTTAAAAGCCTTAAAAGATGGTACATTGAGATAGCTGAGACCACTTCCTGAGGGTAGAACAAGCGAATCCCAGTAAGAAAGCATGCAGGCCACTGTGCTGCTACAAGAGTTCAGGACTGGCAAAGAGCACGTTCAGACAATAACTGATTTCTTGTCATGCATTTGTCCATTTCTTACTTTTAGAAAAGAAAAAAAAAAGATACAAAATTCTAGTCCCATAATCAAGTCAAGAACGTGAGAACTTAAGAATTAAAGAAAAATTTGAGATATCAACAGACAGCACCTTGATCCACTTGGGCATTTCTTTCACGATGCCCATCAAGAGTAGCTGAGCAGCTTGTCGCAGATTTGACTTGCAAGCATCCCTCACATAGCAAAAATTAGATTGTAGGGAA